ATCCAATTTATAATTTGCAATTAATCCACATTACAATATTACTCTCAAATAGTTAGGCCTGCTAATGCTTCTACAGTAAAACCATTTCGGAGCAATATCCTTTACTCTGCCAGGAACACTTCAGTGGTGTCTGTAGGGGAGAGCACTGCATCACTCTAAAAAATGCTGGATTGTTTTAACCCAATTTTGGGTCAAATATGGACAAACCCAGCCATTGGGTTACATTTTTTAATCCAATGTTTGAATTTGTCCATATTTGACCCAAAATTGGGTTAAAACAACCCATCATTTATTAGAGTGTGCGGAAAGATCTTCAGGTTCGGCACCAGTAAAAGACTCAACATTCCCAGAGAAACCCTAGATGCAGAAACTCAAGCACATGCCGCAAACACAGGGGACGAGGATTAGGATCTCACCGGCCTTGTTAGCATTGAATGTAAATCTTTTGTTTGTTGTTTTTTTTTTTTTTTTTTTACTTTCTTTGCCACCTACTCCGTGTGTCACAGCCAAGATGGATGGATCGTGCAAGCAAACCAACAACTGAAGTCATATATGAAAAGTGCTTGGTGGAACTCAGCAGGACTGTCTACACTGATTTATAAGGGGAGGAGTAATAAACGCTCGGTTAAATAGCCCAGCCAAACAACAGACTCCACAGAGCCTCCATCTCAAGCATGACACTTAGCTGAAAGTAACAAGGCTCATATTGGGGTAATTGTATCATCCTTCTGTGAGGCCAGGGCCATGTTTTGGGGTCATAAATCAACTACCGGCCTCTTTTTGACATCGCTATCAAGGGGATCCTCTGTACTCTAAATAAGTCAACGCAGTCATTATCTTCAATGGGGACAATGTGTTGTCTTGGTTTACAATGGTGAAATGTAAAAGAATGACTAAAGTTGGGCTTTTCAATCCAGAGCATCACTCAGCCTTTCAGCCTTATTTTAGATATCCTGATAAGTGATTATTAATTCTTTATCATTCATTTCAACAATAAAATGGAATAAGCCTACATAACAAAAAGATAGTGAGTAGTAATGCTTATCATTTCAGCTTACAATGCATAAATAAACGAATAAACAAACAAATAAAAATTCATTCCACACTGGGTTTAACTTAAAAAATTAAGTAACCTGGTTGCCTTAAAATTTTAAGTTGATTGAACTGGAAAAAATGAGTTAAAACAATCATCAGAAGAGACTGATTTAATCCTCAGAAACTCAAAATAATAAGTTATCTGAACTAAATAAATTATTTAAGTTGATTTGACAAAAGAAAAAATGTTGTGATAACAAATCTTGAAAAAAAAATTTGTTACAGTGCATGCAGCAATAAAATGTTATAGACCTATACATAAATAAATAAATATTAATGTTAAATGTTAATAATATAGTCATACAAGTAAATCAATAAATTTATATAACTGCTTAATTATTTTATAAACAAACGAATACTAATGCATAAAATGGAATACATAAATAAACATTAATGCATAATCAATCATTTCAGGTATGTTAGACCTACAAATAAGTAGTAAGTAAATAAATAAATATCATTAATATCAGTAATAAAATGTTGTAGGCATATAAATAAATAAATAAAGAAAGCAAGGAAGTGATAAATATAAATAAATGAGTAAAGAAATAATAAATGTATATTAATTATTCATTTTTTCAGCAATACAATTTATAGGCCTAATTTGGTTATACTATATTGCTCAACATTTTATTTGACAGGGTCTTTGTATTTACCATAATAATAGTAATAATAATAATAATAACAACAACAACAACAACAACAACAGTAAATTATGCAGAATTACATGCAACTAACCCTTAACCAATCCCAATCCTACCCTAATAGTAAGTACAGTATGGCGTGTAACCCTTTATGTTAAGGTGTCTTTGTTACAGTGTTATTATACATTTAATTGGTGATTAATATTAATGAACAACATATACTTACTATAAGGTTTGGTTAATGGTTAGTTGCATGTAATTATGCATAATTTACTGTTGTTACTAATATACAGTATGTAACATTAGTAACAAATACACTGTAAAATTAAGTGTTGCCTCAATTATACAAATAAATAAGTACATAAAATGATAGTTTTTTTATCCTTTATTTAACCAGAGATTAAAAATCTCTTTGCAAAGGAGACCTGTCCAAGATAAACAGCAAAATCATTACATACGTACAAAGACAGACAAATGAAAGCCAATTATGCACTTACAATGAAATCTCACTAACTAGTCCAACTCAAAGCATCTCATTCTCAACTTAAAAACACTAAGTTTTAAGTTGTTCTGCAGGTTACTAAATTACTATTTAGTTATTTCAAGTTGTTTCTCTGACAAAAGGAAATACAATATATTGTGTTCCTCCATGACAGAAAGAAAAAAGAAATCTCTGACGGCATGGACAACACCAATGAGTTTGGATTTGACCAGTTCTGCAAAGAGTAACTGCCTGACTTTCTCATTTGAAAAGTTCTTTTTTGCCTTTTAGACTAACATCCTTTTCACCTTTCTCAAACAAGCAATGCAGTCTTGAGTCGAATCACAGCTAAAGACAACAAGCTCTCGGCCGGAGGAGTCAATTCAGCCCGGTCACTTCAGCTCCTCGGCAGAGCTCAGGAGAGCAGAAATAAAGAGCCTCCGCAGGGTCACAGATTCAAAGGGGGTTTCTCCTTAAGACTCATGGGTAAAAAATCTCCTAAGCCTATTTAGTTTTCAAACACCGCTGTCTCCCCCTCAGTCTCACAGCGGGGCTGTGGTATCCAAACATGTCTTCATTTACTCACTGTGTGTTAGTGTGTTCGCAGAACTCCCCGTCGAAAAGAACCTCCCAAATACGCTATTATTATCGCTTCGTCAACTCTCATTCAGCGTTTTCCTGACCTCTCACCTCGGGCTATGGCAACAGTGAGAAAAATGTCCGTCTTGATTGACAGGACTGAGAAAAGCCGGCCCCTCCCCTCTCCTCCAATAGGCATTTCAAACACTTTGGGGAACAATGAAGGCTTGGGTGTAATGGATCAATGAGGGGATGATGACTGTCAAAAGAGCACATACTCCTCACACAAACCTGATTATCTCAGCGTGACGGAGGCCGGGGGGAAGTGGGCCCCCCGCCGGGCACCTCCAATTGGGCTATCGTGGAACACGAGGACCAGGCTGTCAGGCCTTGCCCTCTCCCATCCAGCAGGGGCCTTTACCAAACCTATTCATACGAGCGGGGGCGACTCTCCGTCCGCCGCCGCGGCTCAGTTAAGTTGGGGGATGGAGGACGCCGCCATTGAAAAGCTCTGGATGCCTCGACGACCGAAACTTCCTTAAATGCGTCGGAGGACACCCCCGCGGCCGAAAGCCCCGAAATCTCCCCTTTATGTGTCTACTGGAGAATGTGAAGGAAGGGATCTGGGACAGAAAAGAGCAACAGGAGAGCCCCATCTCAGATAAAGCCCCCGCTAATCTGCTTTCATTTGGGCTTTGGGAGCAGCAGTAGATGTTTGTCCTCATTGCACCTCTGTTTCCAGGGCAGACATACAGTATTAGAGGCCTGCAGATTAGTCATGGGGATGAATGCATGTAGATTGGATGTTTAGGCTGCTTTTCACATACTTTCAAAGGGTGAGATCTGTTATCACAAAATCCTAATCTCAAGACACGGGCTGTGACACAATAAGGAGAAGATAATGTGTATGTGTGCGTGTGTGATCTTCTCGGTGGTGGCGAACGGGAAAGACCATCTCAGTGCCGATTAAAATGAAGAGGTTTACACAATAGCGTTCGATTGACTTCCCCCTCTAAATTGCTATTGATAATTAATATTCTGTAAAAATTTACTCACACTCGTGTTGTTGTTACTGTTGATTTTCTCTGTTCCACGGATGAGCGTCATAAAGCAAAATGTCAAAGCTGCTAATTTTCAAAACAATTGAAGTAATCGAGTCATACGAGTTCTGAAGTCTTGGAATTAGCTCACTTTTTTGATCATTTTTGGAGTTTGACAGCTCCTGGTCGCCATCCATTTTCATTCTTAAAAATATCTTGTTGTGTAAAAAAAAATAAAGGAAGCCTAGTTTAGTTTAGAATGTCATAACTAGTGGGTGTTTAAGGGATAGTTCACTTTGAAATGAATTTTTGATATGTTTTAGCTTACCTTAAGGGCATCCAAGAAGTTTCCGCAGTAGTTTCAATTTTTATATTTTTAGGTCAAACCGTTATAATGGAGGTCTATGGGGTCCACCTCAAAGATCATGCACAGAGAAGTCCAAATTAAACATCATTTAATGACTCATAAATGTAAGTACACATTGATGGCCTAAGACATGAAACGAGCGGTTTGTGTGAGAAAACGAACAGTATTTATATAGATTTTACCTCTTGTAACCACAGTCACATCCAACTGATGTGAGGGCGCGGGCGCTTTGTTGCTGAGGTAAAAACGATATAAATACTGTTAGTTTTCTCACACAAACCACTTGTTTTGTGTCTTAGGCCATTAAATCATATTTAATTTGGACTTCTCTGTGCATGCTCTTTGAGGTGGACCCCATAGACCTCCATTATATGACTGATAGACTCGAACGGTTTGACCTAAAAATTTCAAAATTGAAAATACTGTGGAAACAAAGACACCTACATCTTGGATGCCCTTGAGGTAAGCTAAAACATACCAAAAATTAATTTAAAAGTGAACTATCCCTTTAACAAAGACAATGGCTATGTCATTTTAAACGTAACATGCTTTTTTATGCTAAAGGGAAAGTTCACACAAAAATGAAAAATCTGTCGTCATTTACTGACCCTCATGTCATTCCAAACCTATATGATTGAAAGACAAAAGAAGTAGGGCTGTCAAACGATTAATCGCGATTAATCGCACAAACTTTTATTTTGGATGCGATTAATCGTTTGACAGCCCTAAAAAGAAGATATTTTGAAAAATGTTTAAATATTTTTGTCCATTCAATGTCAATGTCAACCACAACATTCTTCCAAATATGTTTTCGCAGAAGAAAGTTAGTTTGGAATAACATAAGTTTGACAGCATTTTTGAGTGAACTATCCCTTGAAAACACTTTTCTCCCTCTTTTATATACTGAATTGGTAAGCCATTCGTGTTGGATTGTTAATATCCAATAACATTACAAACAATTCAATGCTATTGCATTAGATGTAAAACATTGACCCACATGGGACAGGCAAACATAACTTCTTCAACGACTTTGAAGCAACTGGTGCCAAGGTGAAGTCAGTCCTCCTTAAGTTTTCACAGTTGTCAAACAAAGCAACCACAAGCATTAACATGTTCAACTGACCAAAAAGAAAGAGAACACATCTGTACTAAATAGCCAATTACATTCTATCGCTTTATAATGACACTTTAAAACCAGACCATCGCCACCTTTGTCAAGGATGAATCTAAACCTGTTCACTTTGGCCGGACTACACAGCGTTTTCAAAGCAGTACCAGTATCTTCTCTGCTCTGTGTTCTCTATGTGCTTGTGTAGAGCTCACCTCTGGGGCTGGCAGCCCGAGGCTATGCTGCATGCACCGATTATTTCACCATAATTAAGAGTCCGGGATCTTCAGGGACGCCTCCGTCTTGCTGCGCTAGCAACCTCAGCCTTCATTCTGTAACATTACATGAGTATCATCTCTATTGTGATTTCATTCGACCTTCTTCAAACGCATTCAACAGCCTGGAGGTGCAGTAAAAGACACTACCTCATAGATTCAGTCATCTTAGAGAGAAAAAGGAAAAACAACAGGTTTTGGCTGGTTCCATCTGCTTAGATCTTTGGGCTGTACTGACCTGCGGTCTGATTGACAGCTGGGTTGATTCCATATGGACGCACTTTGAGACGAGGATTGACTGATTTTGTCCTAGCATGGGAAAAGAGTGTGTGTCACAGTAGCTTTGACTGGCAGCTGGCTGTTCTGAGTGGATACAGTACAAGTTTCCTTTGCAGGGGGTTGAGCAGACACAAGATTGGCCGAATCATCAATTATAGGAATGATTGACAGGTGACGGCCTCCGAAGTGTGTGCACTCAGCTCCAGATGTAGTGGCTCCCAGCAAGAGAAATTAGTTGTGGAGTAATCAATCAGTGGCACTGGCAGCTTTACATGTAAAACACAATTCAGGCATTAAATTGTTATTATTAATGTACAATATAATGTACTGCATATTTGAACTAATTACATTCTATTTAGCCAACCATGAAGATATAAAGAACACTCTGTGTTTTATGTTCGATATACTTCATTATTGATTCTTGTTTTAGATTAGATTAATACACTATGGACATCTTTCATTGGGTTTCAATGAATCCAATCATTTTCAGCTACACTTCATTTCTAAATTCTGTCTTCATTACAATAATTAAGCACCAGACCTCCACCGTGTGGTTACAGTCTGAAAGCTTTTCTGTTGACATCTCACTCAGATCACACCCTCTACACTCATAACAATTTCTAAAACCTTAAATTACATTAGCTTTGGAATTTCGGTCCATATCCATAATGACAATGTATGTAAATACACGCTTAGAAAACCCACGCCTTAAACAGCACAGTCCAAGTCTTTTTAAATAACTGTCAAATCAGTTCGTTCCACAGTGAAAAAAACAAAACATCTAATGTAACTGGTTTTATCCAGGTAAAAAATTTAATATCGCTGAATCAACCAAAATACATTAAGTTATACCAACAAAACTCATTTAATTGGAATAAATCAGGTGGTATAAATCACTCTTTAAGGTAACAATGGCATGTTTCCAACTTTTTATAGTAAATATGGATTCATTTAATTCACCAAACTTTTTCTAACATTCAAAATATAGCTAAACTGAGTGAAAGTTCGCGTTTTTAATTATATGGGTAAAATTCTCTAAGCCACATTTAGTTAAACACTATGCATTCCCTCAGTTGAAAGATAGAGGGCAGCCTTGTGACAAGAACAGTCAGGTAGTAAGCAATCTATCAAACTGCCTAGTATCGACAAACATAAAATATGCAAACGCTAGCCTGTGATTAAATAAAATGTATGCCAATAAACAATTTATAAATGCATATCTGTAGATTAGCAATCACTGTCTTAGAACAATTAACCACAGCAAAGCATGATATCAGATAGCTTCTGTAGCCTATTTATTTTTGAAACATTGGTGACTAATGTATCTTTACTTATCTCTGTAGCGCGTAAAATTTCAGCAACGTCTCAATCTAAAAAATAAAAATCTCAAATATAAAAAAATATATATATCTAATTCAAACACACACACATGTGATGGACACCATGCAGTGGCTGCCATTTAAGCGGTGTAAATAATTGAGGAATAGCATTTGCCATCATCCCCCACATGAGATGTGTCTATAAAAGAGCATCAGATCTTTCCTTTGAGAGGAGGAGTCTGATGTCGTAACACACTGAGCTCTCCTCACTAGCTAATCGATGGAGAAGTCAATGACTGCACCTTTTCAAGCTGTTTACAATATGGACACCTTTTAAATAGCTTACATCCTGAGTGTAAAATGAGTATGCAGTACCATGAAAAACTGCGAATGACATTATTAAATTATTGACAGATTAGTTATTAGCTATTTAGATAATAGAATAGATGTAGCCAATGAAATGTTATTTAAAAAATAAAACGCGTCATTTAAAAGTTTATTAATCGTTTCTTGAACTCTTTTTTTGAGTTTAAGGTGTAAAAAGTTAAATAAACAGCTTGAAAAGAGTTAAAACTCCCCGACTTGTTTTCGCCGCGAGTTAATTAAAACTTCATGTCAGTCGAGTCCATTTCAACATATCACACCTTGCAGCTTTTCCTGGCAATACGTCATGTTAGCTTAACCTTTCCAAGACACCCTGCAGCTAAGCTAGCAGTTGAAACAAAACAGAATTAGGTTACATATGTCTAACAGAGACGTGTGGGCAAACCGATACAGCAGACGCCGCCGGATTAGGGCCTGTTTTCATTTAATCAGGTTTGCAATAAAGCTCTGAATTTTCTGATTTTGTCACGAACAAACGAGCCTTGTACAGATGTTTGTCCAGGAAAGCTCCTCACCTGCCTGCGTGAAATAACTTCCCTTCCCATGATCCTCTTTGTCGAATCTCAATCCTGTACTCTTACCACAACAAATTGCTGATAGTCACAATACACAATAAATAAATAAATACATTTGTTGTAAATCAATATGTTGAGGCATTTTCCTGACAAGTCTGCCCCTTATGAAAAGGAAACAATTGAGTGAATAGGTACGTCAGAGGTGTGGGTCTTTGGGAGGCTCAGAGTAAACTGGTTTTGGAATTGAATATGCGTGAAAACTTCAGAGAGCTTTTCCCCGCCTGTAATATGGTGACAGAGAATAGCGAAAGCTTATTTTAGTTTGTGTGAAAGCCAATAATATATATATATATATATATATATATATATATATATATATATATATATATATATATATATATATATATATAATAAGCTGTTTTCCTCTTAGTGACAAAAAAAAAAGTCCCTACAAGGACATTTTGTCCCTTTAATAGAGTTTTGGGGGGCCACACACACACACACACACACACACACACACAGTTAGTTTAGATGATTCCCTTGTGTCATGCTGGGAGGAGTGAGGATCTCTCGAGTGAGACAAAATTTTGGATGAGTAAAACACTGGTAAAGTTTAGTGATTGTCTCTTTAAAACAAAAGCTCATTTTGTGAACAGGTGACAGTGTCTCCCATCTGTGAGAACTGTCAAGGGGTTTAAATGTGCTACAAAAAAAGGTATTTAATTATTTTTCATTCAGTTAATTACATTTCTTGTTCTAAAGTGTCATATCAAAAGCACAGAATTTAAAGTCAACATGAGATGAGTTGGATATTAAACTGGAAAATGTGATTAGACCATTTGTCTTATGTGTTTAGTCAAACATTTAACTTTCTGAAGATAAATCAAGGTTTATGGAGACAGTTTTGGTTACCATTGACTTCCATATGAAAAACAACAAGAAGAAATTAAGTCATGCAGGTTTGGAACAACATGAGAAGAAGTAAATGTAAACTATGCCTTTGAAGATAGTATTTGTAGTCCTAATTTGTTTTGCATAGAGCCAATTTTGATTTCACATTTTTTTTTTAATGAAACAATTGAATCTATTGAAAAATGCTTTATAATGTATTAGCTATTATATTCATCATTTAAGTTGATTCCTGTGGACAGGAGAGCAGAAGATGTGTGCTAAATGTCATCACCTATGGCTGTTGCTCCCTCTGGACCACCTTGTCAAGCAGTCAAGACTCCTTCCTGATGTCTTTACAGAGCCGACGGGATCGGCACACACTTTATCAACCAGTCATCAATCTTTCATCGGCCTCTTATCTATAATTAATGCCTTTACACAGCGGTCGGTTGTGGGGTCCATACAGGTGTGTGTGTGTGTGTGTGTGTGTGCTGAAGTATAACAAACAACCAGGTTATGTGGCCAAATGTGTCAATATCGATGTTCACAGAGTGACTCCAGCAGACCCGCACACGTTCCTGACTTCTGCAGGAGGAATAAATCCAGACAATTTCCCAGAATACATTACACAGGAAATAAGAGGAGACCTCTGCTCTCTCTCGGACTTCAGATGTCTTTGTGCCTCTAATGGAGGAGCTTTCCTCTGATATGATTGAAGACAGAAGAGCTCTCCTGGCGCTCCTCTCCCCCACCCCCCAGGCCAGAATCTCAAAGGGAAGGAATAGATTATCCCCCTCGCTGAACCCCACCAAGTCAGACAGACAGTGCAGGACATTATCATGTCAAAATATGGCATCACTTAATTTCCATGGCAACCTCATGTCAGTAGATCTCTGAGCTGCATGGCAGAATTTCAACATCCTTTTGGCATTAAACATTGAGCCAATTTCATTACACATTATTGAAAACATTTTAAAGCTGTGAAATGAATGAAATATATGTTAGGAATTGATGCAAGTAAAAAAAAAACACCAAATTTGGTACCATAACAAATAAAATTAAGTAGACCCAACAAGTTTTCAAGGCATTTATAATTTGGGACGTACAACTCAGACAACCAGGAATAGTTGACCCAAAAGTCATTGATCATTCACTCACCCTCAAGTTATTCCAAACCTGTATGAGTTTCTTTCTTCTGCTGAACACAAAAGAAGATATTTTGAAGAACATAGGTAACCGAACAGTTATACACCCCATTAACTTGGTGGAAATCACTTTGTCAACTGCTCTGTTACCAACATTCTCCAAAATATCTTCTTTTGTGTTCAGCAGAAAAAAAAAGAAAGAAATTCATATATGTTTGGAACAATTTGAGGCTCAGGAAACAAATTTAGGTTCTGGGAACGTTAGTTTTTGGTTCCCATAACGTTCCTAGAACTTTCCCTTAAGGTTAAGGGAACGTTCCCGGAACATTCTCCTTACGTTATAAAAATGGAACCTAACAATAACCTACATGGAACGTTCCTATAACGTTCTTGTTTGGTTCCCAAAAACATAACTGGAAGTGTTTGCTGGGGGGGGTAAGTAAATGATGACAAAATTTGGGGTGAACTATCCTTTTAAGTTACATCTATAGATTTTATTAATGTACGCCAACTGACTGTACACAACACACCAGCATTCCTCGAGTCATCTTTTCCCGATTCACCGTTTACAGTGGTGGTTTTCAGAGGTCACGTTTGTTATAGTTGGTAATCACTGTAGAGTGGTGCTGAGGCTGCTTTGGTCCCAGTGGGGTCAGGCCAGAGTGATTGACACAGGGATGTGTATTATTTTCACATGAGTGGATTTGCAGTGGAGGGATGGGTTGAGGAATAATGCATTAGAGCACTCTAATCTGGTTAGGCTAATCTCAGTCCCCACTGCTGAGCTCTGAGAGAGAAAGAGAGAGAGAGAGAGAAAGGGGAATGCTGGGGGAGATGCTTAGGAGCGCTCAGGAAAGGGAATGTCAGATTGAGAACCGCAGGTTGAATATGAATCTGAACCAACGGCGCGGATGATCCGTTCTTAAGGACTGACTGTAAATGTGTGAGACTGTGTGTTTACGGCTGAATAAAAGAACAACGAAACTGAAAGACTTATGAAGTGAACGTCTCC